AGGTTCCCTTGATCCAAGCAGCTGCCAGCCCACTCCAGCTCCTCCAACAGACCCCCTTGCAGGCTGTGCTCAGTGGCTGAGATACGGGCCATCCTGCCCTGTGTCGAGGTTCAGAGGTGGAATCCAGACCAGTGGGTGAAAGTTCCACAGGGCAGACTTTACATCCATTTAAGAAGGAAGAATGAACTCTTCCATAATGGAGTAGGCTGACTTCTAAAGAGGGGTCCCTGTCCCCAGAAGTGTTCAAGCAGAAGCTGAATCATCCCTGCTTGAAGAACTAGAACAAATTCCCAAACTCACGGAGAAACTGGACACTAAACTCTCGGGATTCCTTGCTCCTTTAATCATCCTCTATTCTAACTGTCCAGACCCTCTTTGGTGACAATATTTTGCATATCCCGGCAATCCTCATTTTGGAAGACAACCCCTAGTCGCTGTGTAACTCTGGTGAGAAATGGGCTGGCAGCTAGTATGCTGGTCCCAGTGGCTCTGAGTATTCTACTTTAATATGCCTGGTGCAATGTGTACACCGAGGGATGATCTTGATCTCGTGCAGAGCTATGAAGCCCTCACCCTGCTTGGCCCTTTGGCTGGGAAGGGGGTGGAAAGGACTCCAGTTCAGAGCTCTTCGTGAGGCAACTGACACCTGCTGCCGCTAGGTTGACATTTACCACTGTCCCCAGCCACAGGACTGGGCTCAGTCCTCCCAGTTCTCCAAGGAACCACTTTCTGGGGGTGGGCCCACAGGATTCATGACTTTTCTATCCACACTTTCTGTGGGATTCACATGCCACCTACTGAGGAGCAGCAGCTTGAGCGGCCAGGTCTGGAGGTCAATGGGTCTGACCCTTCACACTGTGCTGGGCTGGCTGACTCGGGGGTCTCTGGCTTGCTGCATTCTAATGATTGCACCGGCCTCTGCTCTCAGCTTGCTGCCAAGGCCATTGATCCTGCCCTTACAGCTCAGGGAGGAAAGGACTAGGGGGCTAGGCAAAGCCGCCAAGAAAAGGGAAAGGAAAGTCTCCCTGAGGTTAGGGTCAAATGAGGGGACTTAATGTTTAAAGGACGTAGGTTGAGCCCAATTAGCTTTAACCTTTTTCTTTCTGTTACCTCATAAATGGTTGTCTTTACTTTGGGTGGCATAGAACTCTTGACAGAAATAGCAAAGGTCCGAGGAAACGTGCCTTTATTGGACTTCGTAGCACATTCCTGAGTTCTTCCCCGCCTCCAGCTGTGCTGCCCAGACCCCCCGCAAGTCTGCAGGTGAGCACAGGCCAGGCTGCCGCGTGACTTTTCACAGGGAACGATGGTCCCTAGTTGTTCCCAAACCATCGAGGATTTCAACACAGGGTCCAATTCTGGGAGCTCACTTCCAGATGATCCAGATGATCTGTGGTGTATGTGTGTGTGGTGTGTGGTGCATGTGTGTTGGGCATGTGGGTGTGGTAGGTGTACACCGTGTGGTATGTGCAAGTATGTTTGTGGTATGTGTATGCTGTGTGGTGTGGTATGCGCATGTTTGTGTATTGTGTGGTGTGTGTGGTGTGTATGTGGTATGTGGTGTGCTGATGAGAAGAATGAATATTCTGAGGTTGTTGGATGGAATGTTCTGTAGATATCTGCCATGTCCAATTGGTCTAAAGTTTTGTTAAGTTCTTGTGTTTCTCTGCTAATTCTTTGCCTGGTTGATCTGTCCAATATTGAGAGTGGGGTGTTCAGGTCCCCTGCTATTATAGTATTAGTGTCTATTTCCTTTTTTAGTTCTAATAGAGTTTGTTTTATAAATCTGGGTGCTCCAATATTGGGTGCATACATATTTATGATTGTTATGTCTTCTTGATGCATCAGTCCTTTTATCATTATGTAGTGACCCTCATTGTCTCTTTTTATGGTTTTTAGTTTAAAGTCTATTTTGTTTGATATGAGTATAGTTACTCCAGCTCGTTTTTCTTTTCTGTTTGCTTGGCAAAATGTTCTGTATTTCTATGATTAAGTCTTAGTCCATAAGTTAGTCTCTGTCTGGACTGTGAGTTTCACAAGTTTTCTCAATTTGTTTTCTTCTCCCCCGTTAGGTGGGACAAGGTGGATGGTATGAGCCGGAATTGAATATTTCCTTCTCCCACTCTGGACTGTGAGTTTCACAAGTTTTCTCAATTTGTTTTCTTCTCCCCCGTTAGGTGGGACAGGGTGGATGGTATGAGCCGGAATTGAATATTTCCTTCTCCCACGTGGAAGGCTGGAGTGGGCTGGAGTTGGGTATTTCCCTTAACCCAGATCATTTAGGCTCTGATAATCAGCAGATTGGGCTTTTGTTAAGTATTTTTTTCTGAGTGTAGGCCTTGGTAAGAAGGACCTAGTGCTCTGGCATATTTCAAAATCGATTGCCTTTTCTCTTCCCACAGGTGGAAGCGGAATGGGAGTTTTCTTTGCTATTTACTGTAAGCAACTGATTAAGTTTTTGGAGGTAAATGTTACAATACTGTAGTGGTCCACTTATAATTGGGTCCTTCTGGAGTCTTTAATAAATTCTCAGAGTTGTTCACATGGAGCCTCCACCAGTTCCACTGGTTCCCATGGTGGTTTCCAAGTCTCTGTTGCTGTAACCCATTAGTGTGTATTTGGCTGTCTACCTCTCCGTATTAATCCAATTCTATTGCTTATAACAGAATACCTGACACTGGGTAATTTATAAAGAAATGTATTTATTTGTTTGTTTGTTTATTATAGTTTTGGAGTCTGGGAAGTCCAAAGTCCAGGCAACACATCTGATGAGGGCCTTCTCATAGGTGGTGACTCACTACATCAACACAGAGTATCACATGGTGAGTAAGGGCTGAGCAAAAGAGAGGTGACCTGCTCGCTTGCTCTCCTTTTAAATCCATCAGAATCCTTAGAGGCCCCACCTCCTGATTACAATAGGAGGATTTTCCACCCTTTTAAGACTGTCACAAAAGGGTTTAAGTTTTAATGAGTTTTCAGGGGATGTTCAATCCACAGCAATCTCTAATCTTCTGGGCCATAATTTGCCTTGTGTCATCTTCTCTTTTACAGATCCAGAAAGAGTTGTTGATACTTTTTCTTTCACTTTTTACTGTTAGGATTGAGTGTCGACTTCCAAGCTTTTCATGTGCACAAATAGAAAACTAAAGGTATATTTTGTGGGGGGTGTTGTTTTGGTTTGTTTTTTTGCAGCTGGCCTGTAAGTGGATCTGAACCTTTGACCGTGGTTTATCAGCAACACGCTGTAACTGAGTGAAGTACCCAGCTAGCCTCTAAAAGTGTCTTTTTAATGTCTATGCAAATAATTAAAGGATTTTGCTTCATAGAACTGGGAATATGATGAGTTCTGTTGGTAAACGTCTTAATAGTGAGCTTTCCTTTATTCATGGAATAATCTAAGAAAATTTCTTCTTGGTCTTTATACTATATTTCTCTTCTTCAGCTATCAAATATTAGTGTTTCTGCAGATTCTGTACTTGTTCTTCTTTTTATTTATCTCTTGGGTTCACTGACTCTAAGGGCTTCAGATACTAGTGAAATTCTGATGCTTTTCAAATCTTTATCTTCAGCTTACATCTCTCTCCTAGACTCTGGAATCATATAATTGCCATTTGGACGTTCCCACAGATATTTCAAATATGATGTGTCCAAGTCTGTGTTACTTCAGCCCATTATATTTTTCTCCCATTTTTCAGATAATTTGACTTTATACAGTGCCATACCTACCACCTGTGATTATGCATATAGCTTGAGAGTAAAAGTCTTCTTTTTATCTTTTGCCCAGCAGATTAGTACTATATTATGTTTCTGCTTTTTCTTTTCTTTAATTTTTTCCCTTTTATAGAATTAGGACCCTCTTCCTTTTTGCTTCCTGCTTTGTTGTCTGATGTAGATGGCCTTCTTTCAACCTGGATTCTTCCCCTCTGACTCTCCCTTAAAACTTTTCCCATTCTCCTTCTAGTGGATGACTGTTAAAATGCAAATCTGGTCAATAACGTAGCTGTTTTGACAGGACCTCATTATTTACAGCCTGTGGTTTGGGAAGTGGCAGTGTCCACCCTGATATGGACAGAGGCGATCCTTTTGCATGTAGGGAGGAAATTTTGGGTTGCCTTTGTATGTGCTTTTTATTTATTTATAGGTAATTAAAAAACAAGAGTAAGTGCATAAGATGTATTGTTGTTTGTATTTGGCCAAATATTGAAATGCAGAATCACTCCATAATCAGTTGCTTCAGTGTTGCATTTATCTCTCAACACAGCAGTGCCATTAACCTACACAGAGTGATGTGTGTAGTTCCATCAACATGGTGCATGTTTTGTGCTTTTCTGACTACATATTTGTTGTTTCCTTATAGTCACAAGAATACATAGTTTGCATGAAGGAGCACATCTCTGGCATTTCAGTGCAGTGCAAACTGGATACAAACTGAAACTATGTTCTCTTTCTTTCTTACCCCTACATTGAACTTCTGTCTAAATTAGTTCATCAGACATTATTTCAGGTATATATTTGTACTTATGCCTTTACACCAGATATAAGCTCCTTGGAGGGGCAGAATTTTATTCATGTGTTTATCACAAGCAACAAGGATGGTTCTAGATCTATATGGGAAGCTTTATAATCATGTTTTTAGTAACAAATAAATTACAACAGTGTCAGGATATTTCTTCTGTGGTTTTTCTTATCTCCCACTATATACAGTACTAAGAATCTGCATCTTATGTATGGTATGTATGATACATGCACGCACGGAACTGTGAACTACCAGATTTCTCTGTGACCCAAGGCTAGTGAATTGACTTGACCAGAAATGTGCCCTTACAGGGGCTTCGTGTCCTTTGAGGATATGGCTGTGTACTTCACCTGGGAAGAATGGCAGTACCTGGATGATGCTCAGAGGACCTTGTGGCTGTGTACTTCACCTGGGAAGGGAAGAATGGCAGTACCTGGATGATGCTCAGAGGACCTTGTACAGGGACGTGATGCTGGAGACCTCTAGCAGCATGGTGTCATTGGGTGGGTGAAACTTCCCCAAAATGACCTGGAATGACACAGTTTTGTTTGTGGTAAATATGGGCACCATTTATAAGGTTTAATGCTATTTCAGTAAGATTCCATTTCATGAAGAATGTGAGTGTCTTCCCTCTAATGAAAGGTTCAAGTTGACCCATTCATTGTCCAGCTTCTGAAGCTGTGCTCTTGTCATTTTTCCATGGATTTAACTTAGTGGTTTTACAAAGTCCAACATTATTTCTCATTAACAGGGCACTGCATTACCAAACCTGGGTTGATCTTCAAGTTGGAGAAAGGTGCAGAGCCATGGACAACAGAAGAACCCCCAAACCAGAGGCTCCCAGGTCAGTTGGTGGATACTGTACAGTGAGGCTGGAAAGAGTAAAGCCCAGCAGATGTGGGCAGTGTTCAGGTCTTAGTAGGAATTGTTCCCTGGTTCCAGACCCGAGGACAGCTAGGCTGCATGCATTATATAATTTCCACGGAAGGCTCTTTCATGTATAGTACCACATTGTATTTTGCCTAATTTTGAAAATATTTACCTAAATTCTAATCCCTACATTTCTCTTCTTAGACATTTTTCTTTGCTATTCACTTTCTCAGTATTCTCAGTTGACCTCTTTTCCTCCATACTCATGCACAATTTTTCAGAACATTTAAGTATTTTTTCTGTTACTTACAATAGAGTACCAGAAATTTATGAAGAAACAATGTTTTTCTTAACAATTTCAGAGGCTAAGTCCAAGGTTGAGGGGTTGCATGAAGTGAGGGCCTTCTTTCTGGTGGTGATTCTTGGCAGAGTCCCAAGGGTGGTGCAGGGTACCATATGGCAAGATTGACAAAAGTATGTCCACATGCTGTCTCCCTCTCCCTATAAAGCCACGTGTCTACTAACTGATAACTCATAATACCATTACTTCCTGAATGGATTCATTCATTTATGAGTTCATAACCCTCATGATCTGCTCACTTCCTAAATTCCCTATGTTTCACATACCATACGTGGATTTTTCACCCTCTTAACACTGTCACAATGGGAATCAACCTTCAATATGTGTTTTGAGTGACATTCAGACTATAACACAGATATTTACACATTTGGTTATTCTTTCAGCACTTTTTATAGATCAAGTTTTAAGCACTGATAAATTTATTTTATTTTATTTTTTTAATTTTTTTTTTGTCTTTTGTCTTTTTTTTCCATGTCTGGCAACGGATCGCAACCCTCAGTGTTGCCCCCGTACCGGACCGGGGACCGGCAACAGGATTGCAACCCTCAGCGCTGCTCCCGTGCCTCGCTCAGCCAGCGAGCGGGAACCAGTCTGTATGTGGGATCCGACCCCTCGGGCGGGAGTGCCGCCGCACTTCCCAAGCGGCGCACTATCCAGTGCGCCACCGGGCCGGCCCCTAAGCACTGATAATTTTATATTTGTACTTATAACAGCAATGTCTTGCTTTCAAAGAGCTTACATTGTGATGAAAGTGAAACAAGAAAATAATATATGCTAATTAGTTGTATAAAAACTGTGAGGAATATTTTAACCACAGAGAAATACAGGATGTGAAATTTTAGAAAGGATGTTCAGAGAATGCAGTTTTAGAGGGATTTGTGTTTACTTTGGCAAAGCTTCAAGTTAAATCTTGTCTAATTTTGACATATAATACATAGACAAATATAAAATCTGAATTCAGGAGTGGACATAACTATTGGACATACAAATTTGGAAATTGACATCCTACAGCTGAGCTGATATTTAAAATCATGCTCATACATATCATCTATGGAGTTGATAAGAAAATGAGGAAGAAGTTCCAATACTGAGCCTTGTGTGTACCATAAAACCAGAAATCCTGAAGCTGAGCAGTATCCAGGATGGGAGCAAGGAAAGAGCTGGTCCTGGTCTTGGGAGGAGAACCAGGAGATTCTTGGTCCCGTGGCCAAGCTAATCAAGGATTTTTTGTTTAGGGACTCAGATTTCGGTTTGGAGGTAGAGTTTGAAGGTGGCATTTTATTCTGCCCATTCTGAAAATCATTCTGAAGCAACAAAGCGAATGAGAAATATATAGGAGACTCCATTTTCTATGAAACTAGAACAGAGCAAAACTTCCGTGCACAGAACACAAGCCTACAAAGGCAGAGAATTATCAAGCACAGTGTGCATGTGCCAGATATTGGAAGGAGTATACAAGTTGAATTTAAAAGGAGCCCAAAAAACCCAGTTTTTAAAGATGGCAGACACAGCCTGGGTTGTAGATCCAAATCGTTTAGACACATGGGGAAGGGTTGCCCGGGGTGGCAGACTGAAACTTCTTGTAATGGTTTTGAGAAGCGGTGGGTGTTAGGTTAAATGAGGAATTTGAAGGAAGTGGTCTTTATCTTGTGTAGAGTAAAGATTTCATTATTTGAAAATCTTGCAGGTGCATATAGTCATTTCTTAGGGAAGTGTGAAAATTATAGAAGCAGGTACAAAATTCTAAACCTAAGATATATTCCTACTTAAGTTACAGAAAAATGGCCCTCTCTTCCACCTCACAGTAATTGATTCAAGACATCCCTGCCACCTTCACAACAGAATCAGGAGAAAAAGAGCAGCATAAGACACCCACTGATACTATAAGGATAAAACAGAGAAAAAGACAGGGTGAACAAATGTCATGGGATAAGAACTTAGTTGAAAACTATAATTAGGCAGTAGGTGAAATTTTCTACTAAATGTTTCAGCATGAATTGAAAAGAAACAAAGAAACACGATTTAACCTTAGTAAATATTTTTTAAGATTAGAGAAATTAATTAGAAAAGAAACATTTTAAACATTAGAAAAAATATAAATACAGTTTATTGTATTTAGTCACTAGGAATAAAACCAACATACTCATAAAACCAATAACTATTGTGGGTTTTTATAAAATATTATGTCACTAAGATGGGTAGAAACTTCTTACCTGTATACTAGCATTCAATAGGATATACTTATGTGTGGTTCATAAATATGTTTATCTTTTTCTCATTTCAGATGTCCAGGAAGTTGATGGCCTAATTCAGCAGAATCAAGAAAGTCACTGTAGACATTTGTGGCAAGTTGTAATCACCACCAACAACACATCAACTGAGGAAAGAGTTGAGTTAGGAAACTCATTTAATTTGAGCTCTAACCATATATCAAATCTGTTTATAAATAATGGAAACTATTCAGAAATGAGGCCTGATGAGTTTAATGTATGTCAGAATGCACTTCTTCCTATAGATCCTGATGAAATGCATGCTGGAGAGAAGCATGAATGCCTTAGTATAACTGGGAAATCCCTCAGACACTGTGAGCATTTCAGTCAGCATAACAAGCATCAGCCAAGGCAGCAGCCTTCTGAATATAGTGCACAAGTACCAAAAATATTTACACATAAGAGGGTTCATATGGGAGAGACCTCCTGTAATGATAATGAATATGGGAAAGGCTGTGATAAGTCAGCTCGCATTGCCCAAGACGTAACTCAGGTAGGGAGGAAAACATTTGAATGTGATGTATGTGCAAACATGTTCTGTAAACAGTCTAAACTCACTAACTGGCAGAAAACACACACAGGGGAGAAGCCCTATAAACGTAGTGAAGGTGAGAAATACTTCATTAAGAAATCATACATTCCTACACATCAGAGAACACATATTGGGGAGAAGCCCTACACATGTAGTAACTGTGACTGTTTTTCCTATCAGATATTGGACCTTACTAAGCACCAGAGAACTCACATGGAGGAACAGTCCTATGGATGTATTGGATATAAAGAAAACTTTCATGAGAAGTCATTCTTCAGCAAGAGTCACAGAATTCACAATGTTGAGAAACGGTATGAATGTGACATAGGCAGAAAGACTTTCTATGTTATATCACACCTCAGTATGCATCAGAAAATTCACAGAGGTGAGAAGCTCTTTGCATGTAATGAGTGTGGAAAATCCTATTAATGGAAGTCACACTGGAGCAGACATCAGAGCACTCATACTGGTGAAAAGCCATATGAATGTGAAGAATGTGGAAAAGCTTTTAAACAGAATCACACCTCAGCAGGCATTGCAGTATTCATACAGGATAGAAACCCTATGAATGTACAGAATGTGGAAAAGCTTTTCCATTGAAGTCACGCCTCAGCTTGCATCAGAGAATTCATACAGGTGAGAAACCCTATGAATGTAAAGAATGTGGAAAAGCTTTTAAGCAGAAGTCACACCTCACCAGGCATCAGAGTATTCATACAGGTGAGAAACCATATAAATATAAAGAATCTAGGGAAACATTCTACAGCAAATCACACCTCAGTGCACATCACAGTATTCACAGAGGTGAGAATCTATATGAATATAATAAATGTGGACAAACCTTTGACCTGAAATCACACTTCTGTGTGCATCAGAGTCCTCACACAGGGAAAAACCCTGTGAGTGGGGTGAATGTGGAAAAACATTTCAGAAGATGTCAGCCCTCATAAAGCATCAGAGAATTCACACACGTGAAAGACCCTATGAATGGAGTCCTCACACAGGGAAAAACCCTGTGAGTGGGGTGAATGTGGAAAAACATTTCAGAAGATATCAGCCCTCATAGAGCATCAGAGAATTCACACACGTGAAAGACCCTATGAATATAATGAATGAGGTAAAGCGTTCTACAGAAAATCACACCTCAGTGCCACCAGAGAATGCATACAGGTAAGAAACTCTATGAATGTAAAGAATGTAGGAAAGCTTTCTACAAAAAGTCACAACTTAATGCACACCAGAGAATTCATATAGGTGAGAAATCATGAATATGAACAATGTACGAAAACTTTCTATCATAAAGCTGCTCTGACTACATCAGAGATGTCACACTGGTGAGAAACCTTATGAATGTAAAGAATGTGCTATAACTTTCTATAGTAAATCAAAATTAAGTGGATGTCAGATAGTTCACACAGGGGAGAAACCCTTTGAGTTTAATGAGTAAAAAAAAAAAGAAAAACCTTTTACCAGAAGTCACACTTTAGCAGCCATCAGAGCACTGACACTAGTGAAAAACTATATCAATGTAAATAATGTGAAAAAGCTTTTACAAAAAAGTCACACCTCAACAGACATCAGAGTATCCACACAGGCGAGAAACCATATGCGTGTAGAGAATGTGGAAAAGCCTTCAATGAAAAGTCATGCCTCAACAGGCATCAGAGAATTCACACAGGTGAGAAACCAAATGTATGTTAAGAATGAGGAGGGGCCGGCCCGTGGCTCACTCGGTAGAGTGCGGTGCTGATAAGACCAAGGCCGCGGGTTCGGATCCCATATAGGGATGGCCGGTTAGCTCACTGGCTGAGCGTGGTGCTGACAACACCAAGCCAAGGGTTGAGATCCCTTTACCGGTCATCTTCAAAAAAAAAAAAAAAAAAGAATGAGGAAAAAACCTTTTAACAGAAGTCAGTTTTTAACTACATGGGAGAATTTACACTGTTGAGAAACCCTCAGTGTAATGAATGTGCAGAAAATTTTTATCAGAAGTCAGTTTTTAACTACATGGGAGAATTTACACTGTTGAGAAACCCTCAGTGTAATGAATGTGCAGAAAATTTTTATTTTTTAACTACATGGGAGAATTTACACTGTTGAGAAACCCTCAGTGTAATGAATGTGCAGAAACTTTTTATCAGAAGTCAGTCCTCACTACATCACAGAACTCACACAGGTCAGAAATGCTATGAGTTTAAAGAATGTGGAAAAACTTTTAACTGAAAGTTACATGTCAGCAGGCATCAGAACTCATGCAAATGAGAAACCATATGATTGTAAACTATGTAAGAAATTTTTCCACTGTAAATCATACCTCACTGAACATCAGAGTTCAGTCAGGTGAGAAATCATATGAATGCAATGACTTTGGGAAAATGTATTATTAAAAATTAGCCCTAACTAGACATGAAAGAAATCACACAAGGGGAAGAACCAATAAGTGTAATGTGTGGAAAAACCTTGTGTCAGTACTCACATCTCAAGATGCATCAGAGAACTCACACATAATCCCTGTAAATGTAGAGGCGTCCCTTGGTGTTCACGAGGGATTGATTTCAGGACCTCCCTTGAATATCATCTCCCTCTCACACCAACGCTCTCATTCCCCTTTCCTGATCGAACTACTGTAACCACCTATTTGATTCTCTCTCTTAAAATAATTCGACTCATACACAAGCCTGTCACAGCTTCACAAACACACTGCCCCAACCTCCCCTGGTCTTTTTGTTTGTTTGTTTGTTAGTTTGTTTTAAAGGTATGGTGTATTAGATATGTCATCTCACATTGTTTTTTTCATGTAACAATATATCTTTGGGGTCTTAGTACATATGGAACTTCACTTTACATTTTTGAAAGGCTACATGGTGGGCCACTGTATGGATAGAATGTAATTTAACCATATTCCCCTATCGATGGGCATTTAGGTTTCATGTGTTTTGCTGTTACACGTAATGCTGTAAAGGCCACTCATGCATATTCATCATTGTGCAAACAAGGAAGAATGTCAGATAAATTCAGAGAAATCTACCTGCTATATAAAAGGGGAAGTATATAAACAGTTGTCATAGAAAAACAATTCTGAAATGTTAAAAATAAAAATATTCAAGATGTTTACAGTAAAGCCAATTTTATTGCAGTAGGGTAGAGAAATTGAGTGCAAATCCGAATACAACAGGGATAAGTAGGAATTTATAGGCAATGACAAGGGGAGGGGGTAAGTAGCTAGAAAATTACTTAGAGAGTGTATCAAAGGTACAAAGATTATTAAATTGACTAAGCAGGATTCTTGCCAAAATCGGTAAATTCAATGCCTAGTTTAGAAGACAGCTCAGAGGAGCCTGTCTAAATGTTGCTCAAGGAGCAACTCTTGGAACACTTTTGGTTAACATTACTCACCTGCCCTCCAGAGACATTATGAACCTACCATAAGCCTTTCAGTATGTACAAGGTGCCCCATTTTTCAGTTACCAAACAGCTGTTTTCAAAAGTTTCTCTTATTAACCACGTATGCCAAAATAGTATCTTCTGAAAATTTTTCTAGTACTATAAAAAAAACTTAGATTCATTACCATTTCTGGGAATATATCTTATGAGAATAATCAGTCATGATGTTAAATCTGTATAATTTATGATGGTAAAAACAAAGCTACAGGCAGCATGAGGGGATTTGTTAAATTATAATACATCCATAGGATGAAATTCTTTTCAGCCATTAAATATCATCCATATCATTTTTTAATCAACTCGTTTCAAGTTTACCTGTTTTTAACCTTTATGTTCTCACCTGAAATTTTACACAAGTCAGTTAATACATTTTGCATTAAAATATCAAATTATATAATTGTCACAGATGTATGAATACACAACAGAAAGCAAATCACCACCACCTTCTTAACCCAATTATTTCCCTTTCTTGAAATAACTGCTGCCAGGTTGTTGAAGACTAATGTGTCCAGAGCCATAGAGCCCGGCTGCCTGCCTGTCCAGAGCCAAAGAACCTGCCCAGCTATTGCCTCGAGGCCTCAGAGCCTTGTTTGCTGTTATCTTCCATCCCTCCCCCTCCTGTGCACTATGGGTCTAGGTAACTTTGCAACTTGCCATAGATAACGAGAATTTTCCATTTACCGGAACAACCCGCCCTGTGATTTTCTCAGTAAACCATCTGCTGCTCACTTCCTTATCTGCTGATTTCCTCCTGCTGGCTATATAAGCTGTGACCTTCTGGCTAATAAATGAGACTTGATCAGGATACTGTCTTGTCTCCATTTCTCACGTCTCTTGTCCCATCCAATTCCCACTCCCCCCTCCAGGGTCTGCATTGAATATCCCAAGGGTCAGGGCATTTTTGGCGCCCAAACGTGGGGCACTGGATACAGGGGACACTGTGAGGAAGACAGCGCATCGGAGGGTCAACCACTGAAAACGAAAGAGTAAAACCTTCATCCGCCACGGGAACCTGCCACGTCAGGATAAGGGGAGTAAGCGTGTCCAATAATGGGACAAGAATTAAGTTGTCATGACGTCTACATAAGACAGTTACAAAAGGCTTTAAAGACGCAAGGAGTAAAGGTTAAAACAAGTGACCTATTAAGATTTTTTGATTTCATGAAGAATCTTTGTCCTTAGTTCCCAAAAGAAGGGACTATTAATTATAAAAGGTGTCTCAAGTTGGAGATGTTTTACAAGATTTCTATGAGACTTTTGGGCTGGAAAAGGTCCCTGTTACTGCCTTCTCCTATTGGAATTTAATCAGGGACATGATTCAGGATAGGGAAAACTCCCCAGAAGTTTCAGAAACTGTGGCCCAAACTGAAAAAATACTAAAAGCCAGTTCCAAAACTGACCTCCGAAATCCCTCTCCACCGCCTAGGGTGGACGTAGATCTAATCTCCCTAGAAGATGAGAGTGAGGAGGTCAAGGCAGCCAGTGCCATACCTAAGAGATCTAAAAAGTATCCACTATTAAAATTCCAGGATGATGAGGAGGCACAGAATCCTGATCCCTCAGGAGTTGATTGGGGTGATCTGGACACAGAGGCCACTGAATACCATGCACCAGATGATGCATTCTTGGCTCAGCCTTTGTCACGCCCTTTCCCTCACAATTTGCCCTCCACTCCCACGGTGGTGACTGTATCAGATCCTTTAAAAAATTTAGAGTCAAAAATTCAACAATTAGAAAAACAAATTCTCTTAGAGGAAAAACTTCAGTTCTTAATGACCAAACTGTAAGAATTAC